ATTGACCACTTGCTGAGGAAAATGAGGACACACAGTTTTTAGTCTCAGATTTATTTAAAAATAGATATGATTATCATTGTCACATTTGATCATGGCTTCACCCTTCTTGAGATTTGTTTTTTAAATTGACCTCTTTGTTGGGCAAATTTCATGATGAAGTATATATTTTTTTAAGTCTATGTCTGCTATATATGCTGATATGTTGTATGTTTGGGAACAACTGACTGCTACCTTGAAAACTCGAAGAACAGCATGATTAGGCAAAACAAACGTTCCTGGGTCACTGTTTCTTTTCCTCGGCACACTCCCTCAGGCGTTGTACAACGCTGTGAAACAATCTAAATGCAGCCTGGTTTTCCTTTTCTTGTATGTAAATTTCTTTTACTGCCTGGATGCACCAAAGATTATTTGCCTTTGAAATTTGATAACTTCACCACAGTATATTCCAACTGTGTTTTTTGTTGTTGTTGTTGTTGTTCACCAGATTTAAGACTCTTTATTTCAGGAAATTAACTTCTATTATATCTTTAATAAAATTTTCTATTTTTTATTCCATTTTATTCTGTTTTTTTTTTTAACAGCAAAGGTTGTAGAAACTGGTACCCTGATAAATGAAAACAAACAAACAAAAACCTCTGATGTGTAGTGTCTGTCAATTTATACGGGGTAAATACTCCTACAATAATTAATTTCAAACTACTGATGTGATGTTACTGAAAATGGAGTTAGGAACAGGTACGGCTAATCGGCTCTTGCAGCCTGGCATAAGCCTACATACACACGTGTGTTGCATCTCTTTTGTTTGACTTCTATATAATTTTTATACAGTTAATTTTACACTCTTTTTTGTTGTTATTTGTTTTTATAGTTAATTACTGGCCATCTATCACTGGGTTTCAGTTGTGTTTAGTCTTATTCCCTATTTTTTAATCTGTTAAATGATTTAGTAAACTTCCTCCTACATCCCTCGCCTTTCCAGGTTCCCTGTCATTTTGGTCATATTGTCTACCCTTGTTTTTCTTAAATTTTTTTTTTTTTTAGCTTAGAGCATATTATCTTTCACTACTTTAGAACTTTGGGGAAATATTTGTCTGGACTTTTGTTCTTCTTCAGATGCATTTTCTTCTTATGCTTTTTGTTATGTTCCTTGAAATATTCATTTCCATCCCCTGTTCTTCCCTCCCCCATTATCTAAGCAAATGTCTGGTTCCTTTGCAAAATCCATACTGGTTCTTTTATTATTGTGATTCATTTTGAGAGTGTCAATGAAAATAATCAATAATCAAGTAAGAATTGAAAAGAGTTTTATTTGAACCTGAGGACTAGCCTGGAAGCCAGCTCTGGGGAAACAAGGTTTTCAGCATGGTTTTATATCTTGTCAGAACAAAAACATTAACAAGTTAGGGATGCATTTCTTCAAGGTTTAAAAAAAAATTCTCAAAACAGACCAGCGTGTACATGTATAGCACGTACAGTAGGGCCTCGGCACCTGGGAAGGGAGTCATATCATCAAAGGAGGATCAGCATGGGCGTCCCAGGAAGAGGGACATTTAATCTTTATTTTTAACGTGGACATTCTTTACTTCAGGTCACTGTGCCCTTTTCTTTAGTAATCAAAGCAGATGTACAACGTATGTTTAATAAGCCACAAACAGCCTATTTTAGTTAACATAAAATTCAAGTTAGCTCATGTGTAAGCCAGAATGACTTCCCTGTATGTGAAGATGTGCAAATTTCTTTTATCAAAGGATTCTAGCTATTTGCTCATGAATAGCCAGATGAAGGTAAAGAGTGAGCTGGGGCAGGCTGAATCTTGATTCCAGAGTATTGTCTTAAACATCCCTCTCAACCAGTCCACTAGGTTCTGACCCCTCAGTTACCTCTTTTCACATTTCTTGGTGCTAATAAAGTTGGTTGAGATTAGTTTCTCGTGAAATATTCCCTAGTAGGTAGCTTTATTATATTATATTATATTTATTATATTCTAGTTATTATTTAACAGTTATTTTCCCCTTAAAATTAAAATTAAAAATGACAAATACAGATTCTGATGGTAGATAAAATCATGTCTTAAAGTTCAGAGAATGAATACATGCCAACTCGAGAGATCATAATTAATAATTTCAAAAGATGTACAGAGCCAGATACCTAAATCAATGATGTACCTCTGTTGGTTCCAGAGCTTCCCAATTGAAACCTGAAGCTGACCTCTCCCGACCCCCCTGCCCCAAGGAGAGACTGGAGAAAGGGGCAGAGGACTCCAGATTGGTAAGACTGGCAGATGGCAGGTTTAAAAAGCAAGGGAACTTACATAGCAGGCTTGTCTTGGGTGCACTGCAAGACAGGTAGAAGTCTGCATCAGATTCTTAGAAGTTCATCCAGAAGCCCTAACTGGGTTCAGTCATGTATCCTGTCCAGATGGTCCCCACAGCACGTGGTCTCTTGAGGCTGTATGTATCCTTGGAACCGGCTCCCACTGTGGGAACAGTGGGCAGCGGATACATTTCAAGGACAGGGGAGAGGGTGAGGAGTATCTGGTTGTCCAGATTCAGCTCGTGGGTCAACTGAAGGTCATGTCCTCTTAATTACCTCCTCCAATGACTCCCCATTGCTGATTACAAGTGAATTTCCAACTTTTAAAACTGAGCCATGGAGAAAATCTATGACATTTAAAAATTAAGTTTCTGAAGCCCTCTGACAAGTCAGTGCTGTCCTAGTTTGTGTATTCGAAATTGATACATTCAATAAATGTATTGGTGTGCGGGACAAAGTAACGTACTAGCCAGGTCCCTCTTAGATAAGGGACCTGTTACCCCAGCTGCAGGGAATACTGCTGGGAAAAGGCCTCTAGCTGTTCTCTCCTTTAGGGAATGCCTCAGCTTCAGAGAGCTGCCTTATCTCAAGTTCATGCCCCTTGCAAGGAAATTTATGTGCAATGATCAATGTCAGTATATAAAGGTCTGGAAGATTCAAACCAACTCAGGACAACCCTGAGGGTCACCCTAGCTCCGGAGCTCCCTGGAGGGCTGGCCAAGACTGTCATTGACCTTCATCATGGTTTGACTTCTACCTCTGCTCACTCTTGCTCCCGAGTGCTCCCACCTACAAGTGCTTGTCCTTAATCAATATTGTGTTTGCTAAACTCTCAAGAAATGGCATTGGATATATAAAAAGAAAACCCCTAGGACCTAATGCAATGCAGTATTTATGGAAATAGTATTATTATTCATTCATAATGTTTACCTTACATAACTCCAAAATGAATTGGAGGCAAGTAATAATCACAGCATTTAATCAGCACACCAACCCAAGCCTTATGTAGAACAGGAAAGGTATTTTAAATGATTAAAGTTCAGTATTTCAAAGCAAAATTTTAAATTGACACCAATCAATCCAAAATAAACAACACCTCTACAAAAATAACTTCTGGCCTTTGCATCTGTGAGAGCACACATACAGGAAAGTAAAAATTATAGAAAATACTTATGCAAATTATGGTGCAAGAGGGATTGGGGGTGGTAGATGGGTAGTTAGGGCTACGTGTGTGGCTTAGAAACTAAAAAGATGGACTTAGATACTCCTTTAAAGAAATAGGATATGATACAGCAGGACATATTTCTCCTTTATTTATAGGAATATTGAGGGAGGAAAGTAATCATCCATTTATCACATGGTTTGATAGGGCAGCTACTACATTGGGGGTACTGGGCAAATGGAAAACAAGCAAGAGGGAAATAATACAGCGTACCATTAACTAGAAAACTGTTTAGAGTTAATGAGTGTAACAAAGTGCCAATAGATAGAAACCTTCATTTTTTTAATCTGTTACCGAGTTGTGGGATCAGATACCATATCACTAGCTCTCAAGGGTACTGTTGGGGCAGCTGAGGACAGATATGGGTGACTTCATCATTTTCAAGGTTGAAAGTTCGTGGCTAGCTTTGTGAATCTCTCTCTGTCGTGGTAGTGTGGACAGTGAATATTCTTGATAATGCTGGTGCCTTCAGGGGTTGGGAAAGGAGCGGGCAATATGAGGGTTTTAAGATGAACCACAAGATATTGCAAGCTTCAACTCAAACATCACTCATTAGAAAGTGCTACCATCTCTTGGTACATAAATGCCCTACTCTTATGATCTGTCAGTCTTCTTAATTGGGCAAGCCCAGCCTTACCACTACATGTACAATAGACATTTTGACCAGTCTGAGTTTTTGTTTCAGACCTGGAAAACCAGGGGACAACCAAGGCAGACTGGTTCAGACCTGAGCAAAGACTCCGCTACCAATTAGCTTGCTAGCCAACTAGCAAAGTGAGCATGAGAATGTCCAGCTTCCCCTAAGCCTCAAATTCTAAGTGAGAAAGCCAGCTTGCGCTGGACGCTCAGAGCCCAGCCCTACCGAGATTCCTTCCAGGGTGTGCGCAGCACCCCGAGGGCACCTTCACTTGTAAGCTGCAAGTCTGTAGGTAGGAGGGGCCTCTCTAGATGCCAGAGAAGGTTTCTCAGCTATCTGATTAAAGGGTGACCACTCAAAGGTCACAGAGAGAGCGATTCTCTAGATCCTTGCTACTCTGTGGTCAGAGGACCAGCAGCATCAGCATCACCTGGGAGCTTGTTTGGTTTGTAGAATCTCAGACCGCAGCCCGGACCAATTGAATCCGAATCTGCATTTTTAATTCATAGGCACCTGGAAGTTTGAGAAGCCCGGGTCCAGGTGGTAGCAATGAGGCTAGCGGAAGGATCTGCCTCTCAGCCCCGCCCCCTTTCCTCTTAGCTCTCAGCTTAAGCTCTGCTCAGCACGCTTTGGTCCCGCACAAAATTTCTGCAAACCCACAGTGTGTGAGGAGGGGGCGTGTAGGAGCTGCCCCGCTGGGGAGGCTCAGAGGGAAAGTGTCATCAGATTGGCAAAAGGCGGCTTTCTCCAGCTCGGAGCTCCGCGGCGTGGAGACACTCCCCCCTCCCCTACCCCTCCCCCGACACCTCGCCACCCCCACCCCCCGCAGCTGCTACCGCCTGCCTCCCGCCGGCTGCCACGAAAACCCGGAACAGCTGCGTGAGCGCCTGGCAAGTCCTCCTAGGGCGAAGCGGGCAGCTGGGCATGCTCAGTAGCTGGGGGAGGCTTGGGTGGAGAGTAGAAAGCTTTGGCTCAGCCTCCCACCCCCTCCCACCAGCCCCCACCCCACTTGCCCCTACCCAGCCGGTAGTAGTGGCCCGGCGTGCGCCCGGGGAGACCGGGAACATGGCGCTCCAAGCGATGTAGCAGCCTAGGAGGAGAAGGGGATGAGGCTCCGCCGCTGCGCTGACAGCCAGCCACCAGGTAGGCAGGCGCTCCTGGCGGGGGTGCCTGGGTGGATGTGGGTGCGGGGAGGGGCGCTTGCTGGGTTGCGTACGGAGGGGACCCAGGCATCTCGCTTTGCCTGGAGAGGATGCGAAGCGGACAGCTGTGACAGCGCGTAATTTTCATCTCCTAGGAGATGCCAAAGGTTGGGGACCGGCTGGCTGGAGCAAAGGGATCCGGGGACCGCCCCCCCGCCCCCCACATCCATGCGCTGCTATCCAGCCTGGGCTTTCTACGTGTCAAATAAAGGGTAGTTCTTTTCTGCTGGGCAGGAGGGCGAGGGGGAGAACCCTGGATACCAGTCCTGGGAGTGTGCTGGTCCCCCGGACCGCTAGCAAGCCCAGCACCAGTTCTTTGTGTATACAGCCGCGCACGCCCGGGGCTGCCACGGTGCCTGCTTCTCCCAAGGCGTGTTGGACATATTGCCAGGGCAGGATTCCCGTATGGTTTTTGTCTCTTGGCAGGTGTGGACTGAAAGATGCAAAGCTGAGCCTTTATGGGGCTGTGTTTTCCTTTGTTACTTGCCTTGGTGTATGTGTGTGCGTGGTGGGGTGTAATGGAGAGAACTTCTGCTCGTGGGCACGGGTGTGGACAGAGCGTGGAAGAGGATCTTGATTCCAAACTCTTGTCAAAATTGCCTGCGATGTCAGCCTCCTGGAGGATAAACTTGAGAAGTCCAGAGATCATGAGGGCCTAGTTTGAAGGAGAAGGGTGTTTGCCCTTCCTGAACCTGTGTGTGTGTGTGTGTGTGTGTGTGTGTGTGTGTGTGTGTGTGTGTGTGTGTGTGTGTGTGTATCTGGAGCTTTAAACCTGGGATGCGAATTAATTCAATTAAGAGAATTTGAAGTATTGGGGCTGTATCTATGGTGGTCTTTTTTTCAGGCCAAATTAATAGAGAAAAAGAACTTGGCACAAAGCCAGAGGAAAGTGTCATCGTTAATAGTTAATGACAGCTTTGGAAGGCTGAATGTACTTTTGGGGAAATCAAGAAGCCTGGCATTCCACAGGGTTCTACCAAGAAATAGCCATAGGGTCCTTGGTAACTCTCACAAAACCTCTCAGAGCGTCCTTTTCCTTTCTGGGATTTGGTGACATGTGGATACTCTCTCTGACCTGAGTCCAGATGGACTAGACACTCTTTAGAAGTCCCTCTTACACTAGAATTCTATGAAATTGGCATCCCATAATAACAGCTCTGCCACCTTGTATCTGTGTATCTCTTTTATTCAGCCATACAAGTCACCGAGTTAGGGAGGAAAGGTAAATTTAGAATATGCTTTTATTTTTGCCTTATACTTTAAAGGATGGACATCTGTGACTATGAAGTTTAGAGATGCTTCGCTTCATACTTAACAGTATTTATTTTTATGGTCTCCTTGGGTGGCAAGAATGAGTCAGTATCGTCGAAATGGGAAATGCTTGAGGAAAATGCATTTAAGTAAATTAAAGCCGTAAATGCCCAATCTGATGATAATACCTTGACTTGGAATATCTATGTGCAAAGCAGAAGCACTGCTTTAATGGAAGTAGTCGAAGTCGATGGCAAGTTCATGGTGATAGCATTGGTCTTAGAGTGGAATTTTTGTATTCCTCTGTGAATAGGTAGAGACTGTACTAGGGCCCTGAACTTGTTTTGTTAATAATGTGAGTTTTAACTGTAGGCATGGAAAACGCAGTCCGGCTGTGCCTCTCCCTTCTCCTTCACTTTGTCATTTGACTAAAATGCTGCAGATGTGCGAGGCAGGTGTTCTAGGGTGTAATATTGTCTTGGTGGTGAGACAGTTGCTCTTGAGCTCTGACTATTCCATATTTGGTTTTGTGATCTTGGGCAAGCTATTTAACTTTCCCAAGCCTCAGTTTCCTCATCTGTAAAACAAGTCTAGGATTAGTAAGACTTAACCTAAATGGGTAGATGTGTGGATTTCTCAGATTATAAACCACCAAGACAATGGTGGTGATCATTGTAAGAGGAAGGGAAGTGGATGTTTATTTAACTTCTTCTATGTGCCCTGTATTACACTAATCAGGTTCAAACATGCGATCACACTTAATCTTCCCAACTGGATGAGTTTCCTGAGGCTGCCTTAACAAATGACCAAAAACAAGGTGGCTTAGAATAGCAGAAATTTATTCTTTCATCATTCTGGAGACTAGAAGCCCATAATCACTTTATGTGCAGAGCCACGTGCTCTCTGAAGCTTCAAGATGAGGATCCTTTCTGGCCTCTCCTGGCTTCTTATAGTCCCAGGTATGCCTTGATTTGTAACTCTGTAACTCTAATTTTTACCTCCTCCATCACATGGTGAAGTTCCCTTGTCTAAAAGGACACCATTCATACTGGACTTAGGACCCGCTCTAATTCAGTGTGACCTCATCTTAACTTGGTTACATCTGCAAGGACCCTATTTCCTAATGAGGTCGCATTTATAGCTTTTGGTTGGGCATGAATTTTGGGGGGACAGTATTAAGTCCAGCAGACCCTATGATCTGTATTTAATGACAGTATTAGTATTATGTCAGCATGCCAGCAGAATGTAAATATAGAGAGGTATGTGTTCAGAAGACACTTTAAAGCTTATTTAAACCAGCTAATGTATTTGAGGTTTTATAAAACCACACATGGTAGGGAACAGCAGCATTCATAGGTACCTCATTTATACACATGTCACTGGCCTGAAAACCAAGACAATCCAGGGTTTCAATCTTGTACAGGTAATATACCTGACATACCCTGTCCCAAGTGGATTTGTTCGTATTGCCTTCCTCCCTTTTGGCTACCCTCCAACACAATGCAGCAGAAAACCGTATTAAACAACAAAAAATAACAGCAACAAAAATATCCCAATCTTAACACCTTTCTAATCTTTCTTGTCTTGATAAATGGCACTACTGTCCATGGAGTTGTCAGAAACTCAGGAATCATCTTTGATACCTCTGTTCCCTTTGCCTGCCATATCTAAGACTACCGTGAAGTCTTGAAAGTGCTGTCTTCTGTATTTATCTCTAAAAGCTTGATAGCTTCTTCTCTCCATCCGCCCACCCCTCACCACCATCAAACTTCAAGCCATCATCTGTCAGTTGGTCCAGTAGAATAACTTTCCAACAAGATCCCTGATTCCCTGCTTGACCCCTCAAATCCTTCATCTAGAGCAGACTGGATCATGTCAGTCCCCTGCATAAAATGCGTTTACATACCTGGGCCGGCTTCCAGAGATGATAGGAGCCTTGGGGACTTTGCTGGCCTCCTCTTGGGCATCTCTTCTTCTTATTGCTGTTACACTGATCTGTTTCTTGACTATCCCAAGTACTTCCCCCTTACTTTGCCAGTCCAAGCTGTACTCACCCTTTGGGCCTCTTTGATTTCCTTTCCTCGCTAACCCAAATCTCTCATCACCCCTTTCCTTTCCTTCCATAGCACTGATCTCACTCTGCAACTTCCTATTTATTCATTTGGCTATTTAATGTCTGTACACTCTGTGATAGCCATTTGTTATGTGTCTTTCATGTAGAAGATGCTTAATAAATGCCGAATGAGTGAAGGAATAAATACTCTTCCTCATGGCATTTTGCCATGCCAATTTAAAGTTCTTTAGAAACTTTTTTCTTTACTAACATATAAAAAGATGCAATTTAGAACCTCATTCTGACTTCAAGGGAAGAGTATTCTTGTCTTTGACAAATGCATCTTCTATGAATCGATTTCAAGTGAGCAGTTAAAGAACTGAGTCAAAATATCTTCTGGCAACTGAAGCTTTTATAAAAACACATCAGTCAGTCAACAAACATTTCACAGATATTTATTGGATGTTAATATTTCCCATGCTAGGTCTTAGAAAGACAGTGCTGAACTAGACTTTTAGCCTTCTAGAGATGAATAATAATAAACAATAAATAATCACCGTGTGTAATAATAATTAATAACATTGACCAAGTTCTCTTTAGTCCCTGTTCCTACTCATTATTATAGATGGCTCTCCAATCTTTCCAATAACACAGAATCCAAACTAAATGCACAACAAATATTTGATGAATTCATAATTAGTAGATACGATTATCCTGATCTTTCAAAGTAGGAAACTCATGCTTATCTGGGGAAAAACGAATCTGCTCATCTATAGGAATGCATGTGATTGCTTTCTGAATATAACTGGGTGGACCCTGTTCTGCTTTAAAAATTATCCTGCCTCTTTCTGGGGCTAAACTTACTCTTTATATGAGAATAAGTTCCTAGTAGATTTCTTTGTCTTCCCCAGTGGTCAAGATTCTTAATCACCAGCTGAATTGTCTCATTTGTCTTGTTTCATCTAAGTGAGAGGTGACTTAATCTCTCTTGTTTAGGGCCCCTTTTGGTAGTTTTGAACAGGTACACTGAGTACCAGAGAGAAATGAATGTGGTTCAACACAGGAACACAGGTTATATTTTGGATTTCTAGGGTGGCCTCAATTCTATGTCATTTTAGTAGTTGCATAAAAGATGATTTTTCAAAATAAATAAAAAGTATCATTTAATGCATATGATTAAATATTAAATTCTCACCTAAGCAACAAAAAAATCAAACGCTGTGTCTTGATATTGTTTAATAGCAATGGATACACAGTTGGGTCAACTAAAACCTAAAAGAACTAGTAAGAGATTTAAGTAAGGTGATTGGTTATAAGACACATGTTCAAAAATGAGAGATTACGTCAAATGCCAGTATTTAACAACTAAAAAATTTCAATAGAAAATGACTCTGTTCATGAATCCATAAAAATAAATATTATCTTGAAAAATAGGAAATGTACATAAAACACTTGGGAAAAACAAGAAATGTCTAAGGACTTATATAAGGAAGCTATAAAATTTTACTCAGATACACAAAATAAGAAACAAACAAATGAAAATGTACCTTATTCTTGGGTAGAAAGATGGATAGTGTGATATGGTTATTTTTCCATGGTCAGTTATATGGTTTTAATGCATTGGGATTTGGGAAAAC